AATTTTGAGGATGAAATTAAGGCGTTGATTTTGCTGTCATCTATGCCCGAGTCTTGGGATACTGTTGTTGCTGCAATTAGTAGTTCTCGTGGGTCTGAGAAGCTGAGGTTCGATGAAATCCGTGATGTTGTTCTTAGCGAAAGTATTCGCAAGAGAGAAATGGGTGATTCATCGGGTAGTGCTCTCAGCGTTGACCGAAGGGGTAGAAGCAAGTCCAAGGGCCAACATCAACATGGCCGATCAAAATCAAAGAATCGAGGCAAGTCTCCGAATACATCCAATATATCTTGTTGGAATTGTGGAGACAAAGGGCACTTTAAGGCGGATTGTAAGAAGCCAAAGAAGAAGCAGAATCAGAAATCTGGAGATGACGGTGATTCTGTAAATTCAGCAGAGGATATTGGGGATGCTCTAATCCTCAGTGTGGACAGCCCAGTTGAATCCTGGATTTTGGATTCTGGTGCATCCTTCCATTCGTCACCAAGCAAGGAGTTGTTCCAAAATTTCAAATCTGGAAATTTTGGGAAGGTGTATCTTGCTGATAACAAGGCCTTGGTGATTGAAGGGAAAGGAGATGTCTCCATAAAAACACCAACGGGAAATCAATGGACATTGAAAGATGTCAGATATATTCCTGGTCTCAAGAAGAATCTGATCTCTATTGGTGAGTTGGATAACACGGGCTATGCAGCAGAGTTTGGGAAAGGTTCTTGGAAGATTGTGAAAGGTGCTATGGTTGTAGCACGAGGCACAAAATTTGGAACTTTGTACACCACTACAGGGTGTATTAACATGGCTGCTGATGCTGATGGTGTTTCCAGTTCAAGTCTGTGGCATGATAGACTTGGACATATGAGTGTTAAAGGAATGAAGATGATGGCTGCAAAAGGAGCATTGGAGGGCTTGACGTCTGTTGATATGGGTCTTTGTGAGAGTTGTGTTATGGGCAAACAGAAACGAGTCAGCTTCACGAAGACGCCAAGAGAGCCGAAGAAAGTACGGTTGGAGATGGTCCATACTGATGTTTGGGGACCATCTCCAGTCGCATCACTTGGAAGATCAAGATTTTATGTCACCTTCATTGATGATTTCAGCAGAAAGGTATGGGTTTACTTCTTGAAACATAAGTCGGATGTGTTTGCGACTTTCAAGAAGTGGAAAGCTGAGGTGGAAAATCAGACTGGACTGAAAATCAAGTGCCTGAGGTCTGATAATGGAGGAGAGTATGACAAGTCAGAATTCAAGGCATTCTGTGCAGCTGAGGGAATCAGATTAATGCGAACAGTTCCTGGTAAGGCAAGGCAGAATGGAGTTGCTGAGAGGATGAACAGAACATTGAATGAGCGTGCAAGAAGTATGAGGATACATTGTGGGCTGCCCAAAACATTTTGGGCTGATGCTGTGAACACAGCTGCATACTTGATCAACAGGGGACCATCAGTTCCTTTGGGGTTCAAGATTCCAGAGGAGGTGTGGACCGGAAAAGAACTCAAGTACTCACACTTAAGGACTTTTGGTTGCACGGCATATGTTCATGTTGATCCAGAGAAGAGAAATAAGCTTGATGCCAAGGCTGTGAAGTGTTACTTCATAGGCTATGGTTCTGATTTGTTTGGTTACAGGTTTTGGGATGACAAGAACAGAAAAATCTTGAGACATTGTGACGTGACATTTGATGAGTCTGTCCTTTATAAGGACAGAGAGCAGAAGGTTCCAGAGACTACGAAGCAAGTGGGAGTTGAGGTTGAGTTGGAGAAAAGTACCCCCATAAATGTTGAAGCAGAAACTCAACCAACACCAGACACTGTTGCTGAAGAACCTAAGGTGGAGCAAGTGACACCTGAGCAGGTGTTGAGGAGATCATCCAGGATTAGCAGGGTACCAGATAGGTATTCACCTTCATTACACTATCTGTTGCTGACTGATGAAGGAGAACCAGAGTCCTTTGATGAGGCCATACAGGTGGAGGATTCAGTCAAGTGGGAGCAAGCCATGGATGATGAGATGAGCTCCCTTGAGAGGAACAACACTTGGGTGTTGACCGAGTTACCCGCAGGGAAGAGAGCTTTGTTGAGTAAGTGGGTGTTCAGGATCAAGACTGAACCAGATGGGAAGAAGAGGTTCAAGGCTCGGTTAGTGGTTAAAGGTTATTCACAAAGGAAAGGTATTGATTATGCTGAAATATTTTCTCCTGTTGTGAAGTTAACCTCTATCCGAATTCTGTTGAGTATTGTTGCATCGGAGAATTTGTACTTGGAGCAGATGGATGTGAAAACAGCATTTTTACATGGAGATCTGGACAAGGTGATCTATATGCAACAACC